CAAATGTAGAAAGCACTCAAAGACTTTGTACAATCATGTGATATTTGTTTAAGATCTAAAATTTCTTGACATCAATCTTATGGACTATTTTAGCCATTAATTATTTGAGAACAATTATAGTCTTTTATTTCTATGGATTTTATTACAAATCTTCTAGTATTAGATTTGTATGATTTTATATTTATGATAATAGATTGTTTTATCAAGATGGCATATTTTTTTATCTTGTACAAAATCTACCTTAAGTAAAAAAAAATAGCTAAGTTTTTTCTTGGCAATACCTATTGCTATTATAGATTGCTAAAAGATATTATATCAACTGAGAAAACTCAATTTGTATCAAGTTTTTGAAGAAATATTTTTAAAATTCTATATGTGGATATAAAGATTTCTTTGGCTTTCTATCTTCAAACTGATAGACAAATGGAACAAGTGAATCAAGTTTTGAGTAATATTTTAGGTATATCATTAACTATCATCAAGATGATTGGACAATTCTTTTGCCATTGGCAGAATTTGCATAAAATAATTTGATACATTCTTCTACTCAACAAATATATATATATATATATATATATATATATATTTATCAATTATGGTTATCATCTATGACTTGATACTTTTGACTTTTCAAAAGTTGATAATCATGTAATAGAAGATTTGACAAATCGTTTGTTAGAGTTACATACAACAATGAAGGCATAATTAAAAGAAGCTCAAGAATAATAAAAGATCAATATAAATGTATATCACAAAGAATAACAATAATTCAACGTAGGTGACCAGATATGGCTATTTTGTTACAATATCAAGATTACTTATCTTTGTAACAAGTTGGATTATTATAAGTTTAGACATTTTTTTTTTATTTATGAACAAATTAATGATATTGTTTATTATTTATATCTACTAAAGTCTATGAAGATCCATGCCATATTTCACCTATCTCTTTTTGAGACATGTAAGATGGTCAATATTTTGGAAAGAAGATAAGTACCATCTCTTCTTATAAAAATAAATAATAATAAAAAAATTGAGATAGAAGAAGTCTTAGATTTAAAACAATGCCAAAATATGTTAGAATATCTTGTTCATTGGCATGAATATGATATTAATGAATGCATATGAGAGCCAACAAAGAATCTTGCAAATGCAACAAAGAATGTTGAGGCTTTTTATTGTCATCATCCATCAAAACCAAGATGAAAAATTATAAGATCCGCAAAAGATGATCACTACTCCTCATGGAACTTATCTATAGAAAGGAGGGTAATGTCACAAACATACATACTTAGTCTAATATTTACTTATATGATTAAGTAAAAATAGATAAAAATAAATTTATTTTATAATATTTAAAAAAGATTCTTTAAAGCTTTATAGATGTTACTTTGAGTTTACATGTGTTTGTAGATGATTGATAGGTTAGAAACATGATCAATAAGTTAATCACATATTAGTAGCTTGTGGAATAAGCTAACTATGCAGCTAACATATAAAAAAATTACCTTGCAAGTTAAAATATTTTTCTTGCAAAATCAACATGTTTTGGAGGTCCAAAAAGACATCGCTATATAGCTCTTAGTTAAGAATATATTTGGAGGCAAGAGTAAAGCCTTCTTCATTCTTATCAATATTTTTTTAGTTCTTAGTCTTGTTTCAATATTTTTTAGTCTTCTTTTCTTTGGTAAAAACCATTCTTGTTTAATACTATATTATCTTTGAGTGATTTTTTAGTTTTTTTCAGTATTATAAGAGTATATAAAGGTTTTTTTTCTTTGAGATTCATGGCCTTAGAAAATTCTCTTTAATCCATTTCAAACACGTAGGGCTATTTAATTCCAACTAATACTTGGTTATAAAATTAAGAATCCAACTTTTACAAAATTATTGTTGTATTGTGTGGTTTTCTATTTGGGAATACACTAGGTACCTTGCTGTAGAGAGTTTAGTTTTAACTTATTGGCCAAGCTCCAATAAGATATTTAACCTTAAAGGTAGAAGACAAATAAATACTATAATATCAAAAAGATGTTATATTAATAAATTTTTTTATATTTAAGAAGGTTTGTACATAAGGCTTTCTAAAATATCTAGAAATTTTCTAATATTCTTGGCTATACCAAATCATAGCTAACCATTTGCTTGTACATTAGGTTTTTAATAACTTGAAAAGAAATTTACAATCTCTTCTCAAAAGCTCATCTTTATACAAAAATTCAACCATAGATCCATATATCCATCATCAACATATATATAAAGTCTTGGCTCCCAAAATACTCCTTTATTTTATATAAAATACTCAAGTTATAATAAAATCTCTTCAAAATATAATATTCTTACAAATGATTTTTTCTTTCCAAATTTTAGAAATTCATGTTTCTTGATCCAACCGTTCAAATTTTTTCAAATTCACGAATATTATAGAATTCACCCTTAAGCTTTATCTTGCAAAAATTCAACTATAAATTCACTACCGATCATTTGGCATCTTAAAAATTCTAGCAAGTGCTCTAAAACCCTAATTTACAAGCACCTAAATACTATTTTCTTCATATCTCACAAACCCAAAATCCAAATATCACAAATCTTATGTATAAAATTTAGTAATATAAAAATACATATTCTTAATGGTTCTTTGCCAAAATCTTGTCAAATTGTACAAGATATAGCTCAAAACACAACTATTAACAATTTGGATCACTTACAACTCTTTAGATTCCAAATGCTGACTTCAACTTCCAATAACTCTTTCATCCTAGTTTAGAATTCATCAAGAAATATGCATAAAGTATAGTTGAGAAAGTTCTTTCTCCAACCTTAGTTGCCAATTCTCTGTTGCTTTCCGTACGTGTGCATTATTTCCAAAAGAGTGATAGTAGGTACAAAATCAATACTCTACTATAAATACAAATAATACCACATATCACAGTGTTATATTGTAGTTTGGCTACCATGTAAAAATAATGTGATTATATATTTAATGTACAATTTACTTAGCAATATGATAAGAGCCATATTATTGGATTTTAATTGGTTGTACAGTATGGTTAAATTACTACTTTAAAAAGAGGTTGTTTGAAAGGATTACTATTAGAATTTGTATAACTTTATTTTCTTTTGATAGTGGCTTTTGAGATTGATTTTGTTGGTAGTAAATTTAAATATTTAGAGTCACCTTTGTTAGATATTGGTGACCCTTATAGTCTTATTTTGTTACTTTAATTTGGTGTTTAGGACATATATTGAATAAATCTTGTAAAGAAAAGAGTTGGAGAGGGATTTTGGTAGCAAAAAGAGAGTTTAGGACATCCATATAGATGAATGGAGATGGATGATAAAAATTTCTATTCCTATTGGTCAAAAATCATGACCAATGGGCTTCAAGGAGGCTGCTTGAGGCCATATTAGTTTTTCGGGGGCATTTGAGCTTTAGAGGTTAAGATTAGCAAGTTTAGGTTTTTGGCTACGGTTTTGGTGTAGATTTTGAGTCATTTGGAGTTTATATGAAAGAGATGAAATTTCAAAGGAGCCTTTTAAAAAGTTTTTGAATAAAGACTATTTGATTCTTTTCCAAAATGAATTTGAAGGAATATTATAGAAACTTCTTGGATCATCAAATATAAGTACTAGAAGTTCAAATAAAGTTTAAAATATAACTCAAATAGAGTTGTTTAAAAACAATCTTGGCATTATATTAATATTGAGACTAAAAAAATATTTAGAATAATTAAATATCATAATAGTATAATTGTATGACCTTGGACATATATATAATCTATTCTTCCATTTGATTGAGTCATATATTATTATAAGTGAGAAATACTAAAAACATATTTGAGATTTAATTAGAGTGTTATTTAATATATTCATATATGTATAAAATAGAAAATAATAATTTTTATACTTTATAAGATTTTCCTAAGATTTATAACAATTGAAATTAAAAATATTTTGAATGAGCAAGGAAAATATCAATAAAATGTTGATAATATAATCAATAAAAAAAAAGATGAAATGTTATAAGTTTGCAAATTTATTATCATTCTTATTATAACATAAATAATAATTAAAAATCAAGATTAAAAAATAATAATGTTTTTTTAACAAAGATGTAATTTATACATACTAGAATCTAAATCCTTTTTATAGATCTTATTATATTATAAAATATCAAAAATAAATATCAAAAATAGAATCTTGGAAGAAGTTTAAACTTTGGTTTGTCAATGGAGCTAAGAAAAAGATTGTAGCTGTGTTTGATCTTAGAAATAAGTATCTCACGATTATATTATGTAAATTGTTTTGATTTCTCTTCGTCATAATCATTTTGATGCTTTATGATATTTTTGTAACAAATAAATACCTTTGAAAACATTGGCAACATTAATAGTACAAGGACATCCTTACCGTGTATTAGACTAAGAACATATCATAATTGTAAATGAAACAGCCTGTCGTTTTTTATGTTTACCAGGTACAGTACCATTTAAGTAATTTCCTTCGATTTGTAACAGATTTGCATGTGACATGTATAGGCAATGCCCTCTTCCGTTGAAGAATTTCCTTCGAGGCAACTAATTATCTTGTATTTTAATTGCTGTCTAGGGTATATCCGGTAGGGAGTTGTGATTCAGATAACAATTTTGTTTTGTGAGTGAGGGATTGTGTTCAATGGGAAGGTTATGTCGTTTACATGTTGCGTTGTTGATTATAGCAGAGAAGTTTTGATATTTCTACATTGTCAAATTTGTCAGACTGAAATTTTTCCACCATCGTTTACCATATCTGTTATGGGTCATTTCGATGTTGGTTCATTCTTTGATGAGTATCCGAGCATGTAAACACAATTTGTATCTGTAACCCCATCAATTCACCAGAGCAAGTACTAGAGATTTCAACTGCAATGGAAGTTCATGTGTGAAACAATCCAGCTCTTCCAAAATGTAGCTGCATGCAAAATAATTACAGAAGTCGAACCCACATACACTGACCTAATATGTATTCAGTTCTAGCCCAATTTGAGCGTTAGGCGACCACCGGTCACTGAGAATTAATCAGACCAGTGGCTCGCTTTCATTGAAAAGGGTGAATGGTACATTGCGGTGCAAAAAAGGAAAAGATTGGTATTTACAGACCCAAGGCACCGAGAGGGGTGAATCCCTGGCCGGCTTCGAAGTAGAAGATGAGCATCGCCACCATCGCAAGACGAGCGTGCTTGATTTCGGCGAGTTGCAACCTCTCCAGCTTGGAGAAGTCTGGCACGTACTGCCCTCCCTGCACTGATCCTGCCAGCGCCAATGGGTCGAAGAACTTGCCTCCGGGGTATCCCTGCAGCCCGGTCGAGTTGTTGAAGTTCTCTGCGGTCCTCGACCACGGAGTTGCCCACTCTACCGACTGCGTGCCGGGATTCAAGAAGTCGATCCACCTCTTGGTCTCCACCCATCCCATCAACAGCAGCTGGGTGCCCAACAGACTTCCGAACGAGAATGGTGCCAGCGCGGCGGGGTCAGCACCAGCTTCGAACCATGGAACGCCGCTCCATCCCTGTCCGACGAAGATACCGACAACGGCAGCCATTGCCCACCTTCCGTGGATGAGCTCTGCTTCTCTATACCATTTCAAGGCGGCGGGGTCCCTGCCCAAGCCCAAGGGGTCGAATCCGTAGTCGCCGGGAAGCCTACAACAGATAGTTTGTACATATGCATTAAACCTTGCTACCATGACAAGGCACATTACACCAGTGAAGGACAATGCAGAGCCACAAACGCGCTAGATGACGTAGCGGCGACACAGACATCCGTTATATGAATCGGTGACTCGCTGGAAATGCCAGTAATGTTTTGCGTCTGATTACAGAGACGAAATCACCCATTGCTGCAGTGCTGAAGACCAACAATGTCCAAAGCTACTCAGATTTCAAGAGTTTGGGACTTATCTGTTGCAAAAAGAGAAGAGATGTGGTACTTACGAGCCATCCAACCACTCGGGGTCGGTGAGGTTGCCTCCACCCTTCACTGCGGGGATCCACGACTTCTTGCCTCCAGCAGCAGGCCTGGCCGAAACCTTCTTGGTAGCCATGGCCACGACGCGGCTCACATTCTTAACGCCGAACGACACCACGGGGCTGGACTGCAAGCTCCGGGACGACCTCACGATGGAGGAAGTTGACACCGATGTGAGCTGCGATACAGTGGCACTGCTGGCGACGGCCATTGTTGCGACTTCGTTGACCTCTAACCACTGATTCAAGCCCAAAAGAACCAGGCCGTAGCAAGCCTCACCGCGGGATCGGTGCGACGAACGCTGCAAGAACTGGGTGCCTGAGGGGAGATTCCCAGTAGAGCATATAGTCCCAGCTTAAACCACCCGCGGCCGCAAGCTCACCGCGACTTGTCGTTCTCGGCGAGACGATCAACGAGTGGCGCACGATCCTCCTTATCGATTACACCGCCTTGGATTGGCCTCCCCGGGAGTTCTATATCCTGAGCGGCTAATGCTACTGCGCCAACTGGATTCCTCAATTCGGGTGGCTTGGGTAGGCGATCGCCTCGCCTTCACCATCAAAGGCTGGGCGTGATCCACAGTGAGAAGGAGCCCTGGCTTTGGCTGACATGGGTTTTCGTCCAGTGTCGCAATTTTTCGCTGTTCGCACAGCGATCGCGGATCTCCAACGCGGGGTTGATCGAGGTGTGGCGCATGATCGTGCCTCGGCTTTCGCTGCGTTCCGTGCCTTGCGCTTGTGGTCCACAGCTCCAGGGTCTTGTGAGGACTTCCTCTGTTGACCACTGTTCTGAAAATGCTTTCCATATTGCATTTTCATTTTGGGCTCATTTTGGGCATATTGTCTTTGAAAATAAGTCAGGAAGAATTCAAGCCCATGGTTTTCCATTCCTTTTTGAATTTTGGTGTAAGTTGATGTATTTGATTGTTTATGAAATGAAATTCATATGATTTTGGTATCAGGTACATGGTTGCATGACATGTAAATAGGTGGATTGTGAAAAGTTGCAATGTTACTCATATAAGTGATTTGAGTATTTTTTATGACTTTGGAACATGTGTATAAATGCACTGGTATTTATTTACTACAAATAGTTGCATTGATTAACTACATTATTTAATACCAGTGGAAATCCATGCGGTTGGCCACAAAACATCATTGTAAACTATGCATCATAAATTAATCTTTTGTTTGAAGCTTCATATGATGTAAAACTCCATGTTGAATGTTGTTCCATTATGTTCTATGCCATTCCATGTTGTAGTGCTTCCAAGCTCTATGCCAATTGATTTTGTAGTGCTACTTTTGCCAATTTGCAACAATAGCATATACATTTTGATCTCTAATTGATCAAAAGTTAAGATGTTGCTTTATTTTTTCTTTATTTTTAATTAAAAAAATGAGATATATAGCCAATCAAAGATAGTTTTTGTCTCCATTAGTTTATCTTGTTATTTTATCCTCCTTGAGTTATTTTATATAAGAGATAGATGTAGATATTATCATTAATAAATGTGTATATATATTAAAAAATCATATTTTAACTCATTAATTTTAAAAATTGTAGATACAAATTTTATAAGTAAATTTACTATAATAAAATCAATCATTTTAATCAAAATATGTTTTAAAATCTTTACATGATTTTCTTTATTAAATTTGGTCAATAGGTTTGATGAATGAATAAACATAAACAACACCTAATTTCATTATATATTAACTAAAGATTAATTATATCTTATAAAAAAATATAAAAAAATCAATTGGTTTATATTGTGAATTCAATTTTTTTATATGTAAAGGCTTAAATAAATAAATATATATATATATATTAAGTTTATAAAATATATATTAATTTTAGTATTATAAGCTTTATTATATGATGTGACATTGCATATCAAACCATGTTTGATGGATGTTGTTAATAGACTACATTATTTTAGAGAGTTTTTATCCATTTAGTATTTTATATTAATTGATCTTATTAGTGACAACTAAGATTTGGATATATTCAGTGGAAAAGGTTCCATAACCTAACAGCTAAGTCAAGTTTTGTGAGTGTTTTTGAAAGATAGTGTTCTTTGTTGTAGAGTTTTGTTTAGATATTATAATTTGGCCATTAATTAAAGATTGTAATTTTTTCAACATGCTTACATTCTTAGATACTTACTTTGTAGAATAAGAGATAGCTTAATTTGTAGTATTTATATGCTTTATATTTCACTTAATAAAGAATTCACTTCTTCAAATTTAGTGGTGTATCAAATACTTGAATTAAGACTAATTTAGTTTTTTAGTTGATGCATAAATATGAGGGTCTCTTAAATATTATTCAATAATTTTATATTATTAGAATCATTTATTTTTTGTAAGGTCCTTTAATTTTTAGTTATTCTTGAAGCTCTAGAGAGTTTCTAGAGTTGTATTATTTTAAAGAGTCCATGAATTGTATGAATTTGTTGTAGAGTTCTTCTATTAAATAAAAACAGAATAATCAAGCAATGTCATGTTCTACAATAATTAGCCTTAGAATGTACAAGACATCTCATGGTAGGATGATATTATTGTAATATGAAGTTGGATTTACAATCCTAGAAAAAAATGCATAAAGAGAATTATTTATATTTGTAAAGTAATTTGCTACTACATATTCTTTTATAATATAATAATTCTCTTTATTTTTTATTCTATAGCCATATTACAACATAACAATGAAGACATGCATGTTTGAAATATTGTACAATAAAAAAGACATTAATGGATTAAAAGCAACAATCTACAATGGCTGGTAAGTATGTGGCAATTTGTCTAGGCATAAAACCTTAACTTGGAGCTTAGAGCAATAGAAAATGGATGATAATTGTCTTTTTTATTTATAAATAATTTCATCTAATCATTTTTTAATAGATAAATAATCATTTATAAGTTTTTCATCCATCCATTAATTATTTTATAGTTAAAGACAAGGTTTTTCAACTTGTTTTAGTATTGAATATAACCATGAGGCTTTGGATCTAGAATGTAGAAATATTTGACAAGATGGAAGAAAACCTTTGTGGCATGGTAAGAAATTAATTTTTGAAATGGATCAAAAGCATTCTTTTACTAGATTGGAAGCAAAGATTCCAAACTTGAATGAAAAAAAAAAAAAAAAAAAAAAAAAAAAAACATACACACATACAAGTGGTTCTCCATTTTGAATGAGTATTATACATTAAAATTATTGCCATAGCATTTGAAGCATGGATTATTATAGACATATAAAAAATAGACTAAAAGATATTTACTTAAATTGCAAAAAATAGAACACTAATAAAAAATCAAGATAAAGTTTATTTTTGCATTCAATAAAGGTATTATTTCTAATTTGGTTTCTATAATGAAAGATAGAGATTTGCTAATAGAAGAATAACATCCTTTAGAAATATCCATGAGAAGCTTATAATATTAATTTTTTTGTTATATATATATATATATATATTTTTTTTATTTTATTTTATTATAGATGGTTCTAACTATCTAAGCACTTTTGTCTACAATAGAAAAGCAACCATGATTTCTTTGATGATAAATATTTTTAAATCTAATAAAGTTGTTATTATTAAAAATAACTTAGAAAAAATTCAACTTAAAAAAAAATTTCATTGTTAAAAGTATCTTGAATTTAGCCACATCTATTATGATTCCAATTGTCTTAAAGAGCAAAAGGTCCAAACTACAAAGAAGCTTGTGCAAAAATTAATTATCATTTAGATATAGAAGAAATCTAGAAAACATTTTTGAAATATATTTATTGTAATAAACTTAAATTTTGTGGAAATTACTATTTCATTCTACATTAAAACAAGTAACTTCTTTTGAATATGAAAAAAACTTTACAAACTAAGATTGTAGAACTTGAAAACATTTCAACATTGTAGCTTTACTAAGTGAAGTTATTAGATCTCATATAACTTCTTGCATTGAAGTAAATTTTTTTACTTGAAATATTTATATATTTAGCAAGTAAAAATAGATAGTAGTTGTAGCTGATACATAAGTCCAAAAAGTAGCCAAGACTATAGCATTTACTATGGATGAGGCATTAAAGAATTTATTTATTTATCATGGCAGTTTTGTAAATTAGATTACTCAAGTTTGGTTGCTAATACCATCTGATCTTATAAATATCAATTGTGTAGCAAGGCCTTAAATTCCATCTTTGGTATAAGATGAATTGATTCTTATTAAAAATATTGAACATATTTTAGCTTATAAAGTAATATATATGCCTATTTTCTTCAATATTGATTTTTAGCTTTAGTTTTGAAGACAATAGAGGATTTGAAAGCATGGTGCCTATACCATCTTTAGAAGTGGTTCAAATAAACATTGAGCCTTTTATAGATAAAGGTTTGGCTAAGTTGCAAATTAAGCTTGTAATTAAAACCATTGTAATATTTGATGAAGGTTCTTTATAGGGAACAAAGAAAAGTCTTTTATTTGATGCATTGCTATATCATAATACAACTATTATATGAAAGACAGAAAAAAATATTATATTATTAAAAATTTATTTAAAAAATATAGTAAAAATTATTATATATATGTCAAAGATATCAATCTCAAAGAAAAAAACGTCAATATATTCTTATATCACTCAAAAAGAATAAAAAATCACTTGAAAATAATATAGAATTAAATTAGAATAGCTATTACCAAAGACAAGAAGTTAAAAAGTCTTGAAATAAGACTAAAGACTAGAAAGACATTGACAAGAATAAAAAAGGCTTCAATCTTGTCTCCATATATACTCTTAATTAAGAGCTACATAACAATATCTTATAAGACCTCCACAACATGTTGACTTTACAAGACACATATCTTAACTTGCAAGGCAAGTTTTCTATATGTGCACCATATAGTTAGCTTTTTCTACAAACTATCATTATATGGTTAACTTCTTAACCAAGTTTCTAACCTATCAATCAACTTCAAAAATATGTAAAGTCAAAGTAGTGTTTATATAGCTACTAAGAAGCTTCACTAAAAAATATTATGAAATAAATTTATTTTTACATACTTCTATTTAATTATATAAATAAATATTAGAATAAATATTTATGTCCATGATATTATCTTCCCTTCTAGAAATGAGTTCTATGACGAGTGGTCATCATATGTTGAAAAAATCCAAGATGTGGCAAATTATGTTTCGTATATACTTTAATCTTTGTTCTCTTTCAAGATGGTTGATAGGTCTTTACAGCCATTAATAATATCTTATACTAGGAAAAAAAGACCACCTTGTTATTTGATCTTTGTTGAGGCATTCATAACTTCTTTCAAATAAAATATTTAGAACACTTTCAAGAATTATTT